GTGACAGAATGTAATATTTCTAAATAAACAAATAATAAATAAAAAAAAAAAGAGTTTTTCACTTCATGGTGACATATCAAATTTCTATTATAATGGAAATATTCACATATCAAGATGATACACAAAAGGGTGAAATACATTTTTAATCCCTCATCATAATCATTCAGATATGTTCCAAAGTTTTTGAAAAAATAATATACAAAATACTGGTTGGCATACTGACAGATCAAAATATAATTCCTGATCATCAATTAGGTTTTCATACATCTCATTCAATTACACACCACTTACACTGAGTTACTGACTATATTGCTGGAGCGCTAGAGCAAAAACGATATACAACCTAAGTGTTTCTAGATGTTGTCCAGGCATTTGATAAAGTCTGGCATCAGAGACTTCTCTTTAAACTCAAAACTATACTACCCCATACATACTATCTCAGTATTCAGTATTTAGGAATTTCCTCAATGGGACCCGTGTCAGCAGGTATGCCTCAAGGATCAATATTAGCTCCTTTACTCTACATTATCTACAGCCATAATATGACTGCCACCTCCGAAACATTGACTGCTACATAAGCTGACGATACACCATTTTTAACAAAACAGCATGACCAATAAAGACTAGCCTTCCAAAATTTGTAATCTCTTTGGAAATTTACATCAAATCATGACGAATCACAATACATACATTTACTTTTCGAAAAGGCACATGCCCACCATATCGGCGACAACCAAATTCCTCAGGTGGACACTGTACGTTACTTTGGGCTATTATTCGACTGGCATATTATGCGCCGAAGTAGAAATACTGAGTATATATATATATATATTTAATTAAAATGTTAAGAAGGGTTCAATAAAATCAATAGAACACTCTAATTTCAATCGCCTTTATGTTATTATTTAAGATTAAGGTCACGCGATTCCAAGTGAAGTATTAAATACTCTTGAAAATTCATCTCTATTGATCAATATAGCATTGTTTTTTTAAGATAAATTATTTTCAAAACCTTAATGTGGTTATAAAAAATATATTTATAAACTGGAGACATACTAAATCATGCAAAAGAGGTTGTTTAAAAACGAATATAAACAATATGATTGTCACGATAAATTAATGAAATATTGCACTGTCTCACCACTCGTTTCTCAACTATATGTTTATTCGGTTGATAATTTTAGGATTTATGAAGTTTATTTTCCAATTTTGACCCGAAGTCTGTTCCCCACCAGGAACTGTTTGTTACCAGAGAATGGATTAAGAATCCAAAATGACCCTTATGAAGGAACAACAAACGCATTTATGTCGGAATCTCCCACAATATCTATCGTTTAATTAATTCGTAAACAATCAATTTAAACAAATATTAGATAAAACAATTTTGTCAAATCATGTTCTAAATTCAATTTCTTTGAATATCATCATGTAGATTTATTATCTGTGGGCAATGATAGTATTTCCAACTTACAAAAAGTCGCGTTTACCTAAACAAAATTATTGACTTTATATGAATACAATTCATGTTTTTAAGATAATGTAAATTATACAAAAGAAAGACTATTTTCATACTAGAAAAAAATTCAGATTCAACTTTTTGAAAAAAATAAAAAAGCATTATTCATATTTAACGACCAACAAATTAACTTTAATTTAGATTGATACCTTTGTATCAAATTTTTCCTCTGAGATAGCTAAGCTCATAAATTTCATTAAGGAGCGTTAGAAACACCGTGCCAATCGAATCAACGCACAGTTCTAATTTCGAGAAGTAACTTTTAAATGCTATACTAATATTTATTTAAAAAAGATAAGTTCAGAATTTGTTTGTATGTACATTCGATGTTTACCACCGATAAAACTGAAGAGAACCAAACATTTGTGTTTTTACTTTGAGGAAATACGATGATTAGGAGAAAAAAAAAATATAAACAAGGCTTGAGTTAAACTACTTCCAAGGTTAGTACAATGGAATTTCGAGGAAAATGTGAGGATATCAATATTTCTAGTTGAAGTGCCCACAAGAGTAAACTTTTTATTAAAACTAGAACCATTCTATGGTAGCTCATTCAAGTTTTTTTTCGCTCCCTGCTCTAGTAATAGTAAACTTTTTAGAACAATAAAGTGAAGTTCATGTTGGTTCATTATGCTGGCGGACAGAAAAAGTTTTTCTTTTAATTTTTTATATGGTTCGCAATTCTATAAAACTATGTAAGGTGTCTCATTTCTTAATGGCTAAACTCTGGCAGGTGGTTTTAGACAAGGTTTCTAACAAAAAAGGTGTATGTTCTTTTAATGCATGAATGGATTCTGAACGGAAAAGGAAATAAGAACAATTTTGTGTTCTGCTTAAGGTAGTGCGGTTATTATTAAATAAGAAAAAATTGATCAAAAACTGTTCAAGATAATTTAGTTTTAAGTACAATAGAATTTCGAAACAACAGATTAAAGTTAGTAATGTTAATAATGAAAGGGACTTTCTGGAGGTATAATATGGCCGCTCTGCTGCAGCAGTTACAGTACGAGCTGCATATCTCTGTACAGCGCCCGTATCAGACATGCAAAAGTCCCTTTTATCATCGGCCTTAGTAAATTTAATCTCTGTTATCTTAAAAATAATTGTCTAGTTTTAAGATTTAAGAAGGTGTATTTAATACTTAATTATCTTGCACAGTTTTTGAGAAATTTCTTCTCATTTAATAAAAAACCGTGACTACCTTAAGAAAAACACAAAATTAGTCTTATCTTCTTTTTCATTCGGAATCAGCCCGTGCATCAAAAGAACATTTTGTTGAAGACTTTGTCTAGAATCACCCTCCAGAGTTTTGCCATTAAGGACTGAGACTTCATGTATACATATTTGCATATTATTATTATTAGTTTATATTATTATTATATATCATATTATTATTTATAGTTTATTTGCATATTATTATTATTAGTTCTTACTATTGTCATTATTCTAACAACTTCATTTTACTTTAATTTTTTTACCTACACTACATATGTTTCTCATACCGTGTTATCTGGTACGACGGCAAATGTCAAAATAAATATTATCATTTATTTTTGCCTTCTTATTTGACTGATCACCCCAACTATTCTTCTCTTCATTCTTTATTATTATTATTAATTTGTCCAACAGTCCCTTTAACGGACTGAGGCTTTAGAAAAAAGCTTCCCTATCGGCAGCTATTATTTTCCAATCCATACGGTTGAGGTCTTCTTTTAAGTCGTTGATACACCGTAGCCGGGGTCTTTCCCTAAGACGTGCTCCTTCCTGGTGGTTATGGAGGAGTTTCTTCGGTAACCTATCCTCCTCCATTTTCCCTAAAAAGGCCTTGCCATTTGAGCCGGCGCCTTTTGACAGTGACTACAACATCGTCATAATCAAACAGCTCATAGAGCACGTGATTTTTTTTTCTATTCACCACTGGTCATATATTTTCTTCAGGCAGTTTATTTTCCTTAGGACCTTTCTCTCCCGAATTGTCAGCAACCTCCCACTTTCCTATATGAATATATTCCTCTTGAATGTTTGTGTATTTCCACAGAAATCGCGGAAGTGTGAATTTTTCTTTATTTCGTGTTATTTTTTGATTAAATAAAATCAAAATGAGATTAATAACAGTATTTATACTATGGCAAGTAAGAATTTAATAGTAACTTAAGTGTATCAATAAAAATAATTAAATACGAATAGAACATAATGAAACATATTTCTAAAGAAAATACACGAAAAAATCAAGTGCAATTTCATATAGTTTTCTTAAATTATATTCACAGATTTAGAAATTGAAATAAAAAAAAGAAATTAGAAGCTATATGTTTTATGATTGTTATAAAATAGGTTGAATGTAATATTACCGATAGTGCCATTCATTTTCTTTTTTACAACTAACAGAACAGAATTAATGATATTATATCAATAAATGAACTATTATTTTCAAATAATCTACTTATACTTTTGAATTATACCTATACTTATTGTATTACTCTTTTATATACCTGTACCCTATTATTCCTATATTTTTTTTTAGATTTTTAAATATACTTGTGTTCAAGAAAACAAATCTTAAAACATTTGAATTTAAAATTCGTGTATTTGTAGGTTGTAACTTAAAACAATAATGATTATTGAAAAAAAGAAATCAAAATGCAATGGTGATGATAAATAAATTACTATTTTTAAGATAATCGCTCATACTTATAAAATTAATTTGAGAAGGAGTTAGTCGAGGGTGCGGTCAAATAAATAAAAAAATTAAAATATATAAATTATTTTAATTTTTGCCGACGTTTCGACCCACTTTGCAGGTCGTCTTCAGGGCTACAAAAGATACAAAACATGTTGAAAATAAAAAATAAATATAAGTATATATAAAATACGAAGAAGTTGTCAGATACAGAAATAAAAGATGGTATCAGAGATATAGTACCATATTTTATTTCTGTATCTGACAACTTCTTCGTATTTTATATATACTTATATTTATTTTTTATTTTCAACATGTTTTGTATCTTTTGTAGCCCTGAAGACGACCTGCAAAGTGGGTCGAATCGTCGGCAAAAATTAAAATAATTTGTATATTTTAATTTTTTTATTTATTTGACCGCACCCTCGACTAACTCCTTCTCATATTGTATCAACGGTCAACCATCTCTACATCATTATAAAATTAATTAAAAGATACTTACTATAAAATTTCTGTTACAAATTTTATTGAAACCTTGTCGATCTGTAGCAGGCAAACTGTTGCCAGAGTGTTTGCCAATAAAGTGTATGTTAGATATAGGCTGGCACACTTTTCCTCACGGTGCGAATGACGCGAGTCCTGGGGACCACCATTATTATTATTAATGGGTATTTATTATATTATAGAATGCAGGATATCACTTTCATTCAAAATAATCACTCTCTTTCGAATAATAAACATATCTTGTTAGACTTTTGAGGCATTGAAATCAGTGGAGGCTAGATGAATTTCTAATTAAAGTATATGACAGAGGAGGGCGAACTGCTACAAGACTGGGCCGAGAGGCCGCAGACTCGAGCGGCGGTGGTGGAGGCGGCGGTAGCGGAGGCGGCGGTAGTGGGAGGCGGCAGTAGGAGGCCAGCCTCAGCCATGTCAGGAGCTCCGCCCTTCTCGGGGCCTGGCTTCCCCGCGCTCCGCTACGTCCGCTGCGCCAACCTTACCGACAACCTTACCGAAGTGTCCTTCTGCGGCAATGTCTCCTTCCAGATACTGGGCGAGGAAGAGCCCGAAGTCATGGTCATGGAAAACATCGTTTCCATCGTTGTACCCATCCTTTTCGGCCTCATCGTTGTACTCGGCCTCTTCGGCAACGCTCTGGTTGTCATTGTCGTAGCGGCCAACCAGCAGATGCGGAGTACTACCAACCTTCTCATCATCAATTTGGCCGTTGCCGATCTCCTTTTCATCATCTTCTGTGTCCCCTTTACCGCTACTGATTACATCCTTCCATTCTGGCCCTTTGGAGACGTCTGGTGCAAGATGGTCCAGTACCTCATCGTGGTAACAGCCTATGCCAGTGTCTATACTCTGGTTCTCATGTCGCTGGACAGATTCCTGGCGGTGGTCCATCCTATAGCATCCATGTCAGTAAGAACAGAGAAGAACGCTATCACTGCCATTCTTGTAACGTGGATTGTAATCGTAGTCGCCAGTATTCCTGTGTTCCTCTGCCACGGAGAGGTCAACTACACCTATTCTTCAATGGAGCACACTGCCTGCGTTTTCTTGGACAGGGACACTCACGTCCCGAACGGATTCAACAAGCTCGCATTTCAGGTAACTCAAAATATTATTTAATTTCAAAAAAAGTATTTTTTAACGAATTTGTCACAGAATGTTGTAATACTTTCTAAAACATATAATGCCAAGCTGTAATCTTTATTTAATAAATTAAATCAAGCAATATTGACGAATTGAACTGTTTCTATCAGGCTTAAAAAAATGTAATTAAATACTGAATCTCGAAAATAAATAGATTAATAGTTATGAATCAATTTGGTGCGATACAGGAATGTACTGATATATCAAGTCTTGGACTCGATGTTTAAAAAAAAAAGTATTTTTTCAACACGATCTTTTTCACGAGGTATTTACAACAGTAAACTAAAATAATTATTAATGAATTATTAATTTTTTACTATTGATGAATATGACCTGTAATAATTTAATGCATATTAAATCGTTAAAGTAAAACAATGATTTAATTTAATAACAGCTATATGAAAAATTATGTTTTGATTTGTGGTTTTGATTCTTATCTGTAAAGGGCTGAGAATCAAGTCCCAATGTTAAAGGTTCTATTTCAAACATTCTAAAGTATGATGATTTAAATGTTGAAGTTATAACTTTTTGCTTTTAACAAGTTTAGGCTAAGCGGGCGTTGTACATGGCTCATAGAATTTCGAAAAGTTTTCAGTCACAAGATATTACAAAAATATAATTAAATGATGATATTAATTACTAATAATGATAATGTATTAGTATTAACTAAATTTACATTTGTTTTTTTCATAAAACACACTTTCTCTGTGTTTGAAGTTATAAAGAACATATGGCTTATTGATACTAATTTTATCAATGCATATTATTCATTGAATGATGTATTATACTTTAAATATCAGGAAGCCATTAAATATATTGTTTTACACACTCACATACTGAAGCAGGTAATGAAGTTGCTGCTTAACCGGCGTTTAATCATCTTATCTGCAGGGCGTTGCCTTCAATGTGCTGACTTTATACAAATTGAATGAAATAATATATCTAAATATATATATTTATGAATTTTAAAAAAAAAATGTTCTACAGATTATATGTTATAACACTCAAAAGAATTGACGAAAATCCGGTAATGAATAAATGATTTTTCGAATAATCAATCGCCACTTTTTGTGCCTCATTATTAAAAGTATTAAAACGGTTAAGTATTCATGCGCACCAAATCAATGGAACGGTTAATCAATACTTTTCCGAAAGAATTAACTTATTAATAATTAACGAGAAAAATAACAAAATTTCATGTTATTTTGCTAGGCTAAAAAATTTTATTACGTTCGCTTTAAAAATTGTCCATTGGTACTTCCTTCATGTAAAAACTTTTGTTATTGTCAACGTTATTATTTGGTCCTAATATTTTATGTAATTCTATATTTAACGTTGGAAATCATTTTATTTTATATCATTATAATAAAAAAAATTGACAATTGTATGCATGTAAAATATGTCAGTGTATTTCAATTAATTGAGATGGAATCTATCTCGATGAAATAATTTTCACATAAATTAACATAATAAAATATGAACTTCTCTCAGTAAAAATACAACTTAAAAAAACAGCCGTGACCATAAATAAAAATTGAAATTTGAAAAAATAGTCCAATATATAATTAGATTACACTTTATATAATAAGATTGCACAAAGTAAACATAACAAAAAATACTCACCAAATGTACCAGAAAAGATACCCGTTTTAAAAGAGTGTTGAATTTTCATTTGTATTCAAATTGTCCTGAAGTACAAATAATTAATCCTGTAAAATATCTTATCCTTAGTGCCACTAAGTTGATATATAAGAATATTATAAATACAGTGTAAATTTTTTTTCATACAAATAAAAACCATTAATAACATTTATATACCACAATAATAAATAGAGTACAGCCAATAATAAATAAAAATAATAATAACACATATGTTAAGAAATTACTTAATTTAACAGAACAAAAAATATAACTAAGCATAAATTAACCATTCAATTGTTAAAATAAAGTATATACAGGCAATGATAATAACCAAAAGTATAATGAATAAAATATTGCAAAATGATAAACAAGTTTATACAATGGCCTATTAACCCGAGGTCTAACTGAAAATATTATTATTTTTTCTTTTTTTAATGTATGATAATTCTAATTTTAAACTAGGTTTATATACTTTTATATTATATTGTTATAAGTATATCAGTAATATGAAGGATAGGATAAATAACTGAGATAAACTAAGTGTAATTTATAAAGTAGGTTATACCAATTTTGAAAAATATTATATCTGAGAAACATAAAGAAAACTTAATTGATTATCAAGGATTAATCAATAAAATATAAAAACATCAAAAGGAATAAATAAATAATAAAGTTAATGTAGAATTGCTTATAGTAATAAATATATAAATAAAGATTAAGAAAAAAAATAAAGGTTTTATTATAACAGTAACATATAGATAGCGAAATACAATATAGATAAGAAAAATTAAGTTAATGTAAAAAAATGTCCTAGAGATGTTTTTTTTTTTTTTTTTTTTTTCATACGAACAGGCCTTAAAGACCATGCGAATACCACGAATTTAATGCTTCCTCTTCATCTGCCTCCTCTTCTCCCATATTCCTCTCATGATCTCCGCGTGCTTACGTTTTCTCTCCTCAGACTACGCAACACCCTTTTTGGAGCGCTTCCTAGAGATGTTTAATTCTTATTTTTTTTAATCTATGACAGTTCTGTAAAACAATATTTTTATATAGATAATATCTGATGTATATAAAAACAATATTTTTCATTGTGGCAATAAGATAATGAGTATGAAACATTAATAAGTGTTTATTTATATAAAAGTACGTGAAAGTAAAAAGTAAACGGTAAAAAGTAATAATACGGTGTTCAATAATATTAATTGTCAACTGTTTTGATAGGGATTTTCGGCAATGTGAATATGAATTTTAGAAAACGAAATCAATGAAAAAACTGATTTCATGTTATAAGATCGTCTTAGCTAAATCTTCATAGAAAAAATATTTTAGTTTTAAAATTACTAATAAAAGGAATGATCTACAGTTCATTTTAGACGTCAAATTTTACATACAAAATTGAAAAGATTAAAAAATATTGCTTTGTGCCGTTGTAAATGTACAAGCAGAGGAGAGTTGTAAAGGTACTGTTAAGCTGAATAAACTCAGCACAATCAAACAATCAGTAGACGTTAAGAGTTTTCAAGTAGTAATGATTATATTTATAATATCTTATAAACTAAAAAAGTAATATATTCCATTACATGCTTACTTTTAAGCTGAGTGAGATATTTCAAAATGTGCTAAAAATTCAGTTAAGATCATCAACCAATTAATAATTAAACATTAATCAGATCAATTTATATTGCATTAAAAACAATTATTTATTGTAATATATATATATATATATATATATATATATATATATATATATATATATATATATATATATATATATATATATATATATATATGTTCTAGTGAAGTGTTATTTTCTTAGGTTCTTTTTATTGTTCTTAGTTTTGTTATGTTATCTTGGTGTGGGGTTGCATGGCGTCTTCTGGTGAAGAAAATCTTCACCTTATTGTGAAAACATTCACATGATATAGTGAATAAACATGTTTACATAGATATATATATATATATATATATATATATATATATATATATGTTCTAGTGAAGTGTTATTTTCTTAGGTTCTTTTATTGTTCTTAGTTTTGTTATGTTATCTTGGTGTGGGGTTGCATGGCGTCTTCTGGTGAAGAAAATCTTCACCTTATTGTGAAAACATTCACATGATATAGTGAATAAACATGTTTACATAGATATTTTGAAAAGAAACTATGCAAAATTTGGGCTTAAACACAAATTTTGTTTTTATCAGGATATTGACCCCAAACACTCTTTGTTAGTTAAGGAATGCCTACTTTATAACTGTCCCAAAGTCATAAAAACACCACTGCAGCCAACAGATCTTAATGTGAAAGAACACCTATGGACAAAATTAGAGGTGGACATTAGAAAACATAGACATTTCTCTCAAAGATGATTTAAAAAAATATCTCCTCGAAGAATGGAATAAGCTAAGCCCGAAATCACCAAAAAATTGGTCGACTCCATTGCAAAGAAATTGAAAAGAGTGGTAGAAAATAATAGCTTGATTACAAGGCATTGGAATAAATTAATATCATTTAAATTTAATTAGAAGTAAGGTATATGTATATAATTTTGATGATGAGATAAACTTATGATTTTTTTTTTAATTTTTTAGAAATTGTATAGCCTGTTCTTACAAGTATTATACCTGTAGGCCTCCATAATTAAGGGGTTATTATAGTCTAACTTCCCGCGGGAACCAGCCATAGTGGGAAGTAGGGTCGGGATTCGATCTTTGCTTTACTAGTATAGAGGGCTAACCACTCTGCTATACCGGCCCCTTTTTTAAAAAAATAATGATATTTAAATATTTTAATTTTATTAGTTTGTAAAAATGAGATTATAAATAAATCTGGTGAAGGGTTTTTGGTTTTATTAATTTATTGTAACCATTTAAGTCTTTTTTCTATTTCTCTATGAGGTGTGTCAATTTCACTGTGAGCCTATATATATATAACCGTGACCGTCCACCAAGGAAAAGTCACGCAGCCCGAAATTCTTCCCCTCCCCTCGGGTATGTGAGGCAGGATTGATGGTCCCACTCCGTACTTTAAATCGGAAATCGGGATGTGGTCTAGGAGACCACATTCGCGGACAAAGATCTTCATGGTCTGTAGCGCCAACTGAAAAAAAAAAAAAAAAAAATATATATATATATATATATATATATATACATACATATATATATATATATGGTTATATATGGTCTGTATATCTCTGTATGTATGATCTTCATGGTCTGTAGCGCCAACGGAAAAAAAAAAAAAAAAAAAAATAAATAAATATATATATATATATATATATATATATATATATATATATATATATTCAACTTGAACATTCAAAAATAAAATCAGCAG